ATGGCATCATCACTATTGTTACTACTAATTGGGGAAATGGTTATGTGTACTTCAAGATCATATTACAGAAAAATTCCACTCCCTAAACCCCAAGCTAGAGAATGGGCACTGTAAAGCAGGACTGAGGGTTCCCTCCACCCTCAGGACCAGGTGCTGTCCTGCCCCACACTTCTCACCACAGTACTGTGTGCAGAGCCTCAGGTCTCTGCACAGCATCCAAAGGAAACAACCACTTACCTTGAACAGAATCAACTGTTGGTTAGCCCAAACATGTATAAAGAAATCCACCCTGAGCTTGGTTCTGGCCTCCTCACACCACCAAAGTGATTGAAAATGGCAAGTGCCCATCGACTGCATATATTTACAGAGTCAGATGTCTAAGTAACAGGGTTTTGTGCTTGTGAGGATCTTCTCTTGATTTTTACTAACCTTTTAGGTTGGTCTCATCCAGGCCTCACTGCAGTTGCCTACCCTCCACAATTATAGAAGATAACCAGGAAGGAGGCAAAACACAAGGGCCACCATGGATTCCAACAACCTCCTTCCCAAAACTTTCTCTGGAGCAGTGGTTCCTAGATTTGGGGATCTAAACAACCAACTTAAACTAAAAACAGACACAGACACACACAAGCATTTGTTTGCCAATATTTTATTCTGGCAAGCACAATCATTCAAAAAATGTATTTCGTGGGGCGCCTGGGTGGCTCAGTCAGTTGAGCGGCCGACTCCTGATTTCGGCTCAGGTCACGATCTTGGGGTCATGGGATTCGAGCCCCACACAGGGCTCCATGCCTGGCGGGGGAGTCTGCTTGAGGATTCTCTCTCCCTCTCCCCCTCCCCACCACTTGCACACTCTCTTCTTTCAAATAAATGAATAAATCTTTTTTAAAAAATGTATTTCCCTATCACTTAATATAAAAAACAATAGTCTTAACCTATTCCAAAATAGTAAGAAAGATAACTCAGAATAAGACACAGACCTCTGCTTTAGATAAATTTAACTTTATGAAAAACTCATTACTTATACTGTCTATATTTTTCTCAGGAGAAACTGGGACTCAGCATTTGAGAACTGATGCTCTAGAAGGAGGCATCACTACTTTCCTGTTAAGGACTATCAGTGTTGGAAGATTATGAAATGGTATTCCAGGGTCTGTGTCCATGAACAACAGTGGGAAGAGAAGCCTTTTGCCCATGCTGCCAAGTATAAAAAGAGAAACAGCATTAGCCTTCATGGACATCAGGATCTCTCTGGCTGACTCCAGCAGCCCTTCTTCACTCTCGCAGTTGAAAATCTGTCTAGCTCTCCTTTCTGGGTTCTGGTACTTTAACTCCAGGTTACCACTGCCTAGCTGACTAACCCAAACCTCATTTCTACTTTTAAGCCTTTGTATAAAGCCATTTTTCACTCTCCTTTCTCAAATATCTGCTTAAATTAAACGTAAATTTGCCACATGACCCCACAATTTCACTCCGATTTACCCAAGAGAAATGAAAATACACATCCACACAAAAACTTGTTAAAAATATTCATAGTATCGATGTACATAACAGCCAAAGAGTAGAAATGACCCAAATATCTTTTAATTGGTGAATAGAAACACAAAATGTAGTGTATCTATACAATGGAATACCACTCAGCAACAGAAAAGAACAAACTAGTGACACATGCTACAACATGAATGAACCTGAAAAATATTAGGCTAAGTAAAAGAAGCCAGACACAGAAGCCCACATGTCGCATGATTCCATTTCTATGAAATGCCCAGAAATGGCCAGCATACAGAAAACAGATCAGTAGTTGCCTAAGGGTGAGAGGAGGATTCACTACAAAGAGGCAGGAACAAAATTTTTCATAATAAAAAGCGGGGGTTAAAAGCCTGCTAAAAATTATGCTTAATATAATGCTTGGAAGAATTTCGTGAGCTTCTATTCAATGAGTGAGCTACTGAGTGAGTGGGTAAGTAAACAAGTAAAGAAATGAAAACTAATTTCCCAGAATCCTCTCTGATAAGCCTTAACTAGGTCCACATATCTCATTCACCCAAGTCAGCCTCAGTAAGTCATGTGTAATACAGAAGTCACATGTAATAGTGGTGAATTGAGTTGCGTGTGTGTGTGTACATATGTATGTATACCACCTAATTCTTTGGACTAGGTTGAACCCCATATGCAATTGTCATTTTTGTAGGTCAAAAAGAATTGGTCAAATACTGGTAATTTCATGTGATTCAACCTATACATGCAATTTTTGATGCAAGAGAAAAAGAGAACAGAGGCTTTTAAGTCAGACCAACCTGTGTGTGGCTCCAGGCTCCAATCCATTATTTTAAGCTTCAATTTCCTAATGTGGAAGATGGGGATAATCATAGGATCTTGCTCATGGAGCTGCTGTGAAGATTACTTTAACAATGCATGTAAAGCACCTACCAGTGTTGAAGGAAAGTCACAAAGGAAGCACTCACTAAACTATTTCAATTATTGATACACGCTGATCCTATCTCTCCATGAAACTATACATTCCTCAGTTATCAAGGAGCAGGATTTTCATTTCTTTGGTATTCATGTGTTCCCTAGACCTGCACACAAGGGATGCTCGTTGTTGGAGTCCTGCACAAGTAAGGCTTCCAAAAGGCTGCTGAAGCCTGAAAACACAGTTCCCACCCGTAGAGCCCCAAGGTGAAAAGTGAACATCATGACCAGACATTTGCAATTCCATTCCCAACATCCTCCTCAGCACAGCCTTAGCAATACTATGAAGTTGAGGAAGTGCCATCAGAGAGATTTCCTTCTGATTTCTCAACAAAGATTTTTGGCTGCTATGCAATCAGTGTTTTAGTGCATGATGTGGCTACTCACAAAAGGCCAGGTTTCTCCTAGCAACAACAAAGGATAGGGCTACGGGAGAAATGCAAATAAAATCATATCCCTACATCCTATTAGAAATTCCTTGCCTCATTTGTAGTTGTCATAAAGGTAGCCAAAAGATTCCAAAAAGGAAACAATGGGATTATACTAGGGTTGCCAGAATTCACAAATAAAAATATAAGACAACCAGCCGAAGTTAAGGTAACCAACAAATATCTGGGGACTGACTTACACTACCAAATTTTTGTTCTTTATCTGAAATTCAAATTTAACTGGGCATCCTATATTTTATCTGGTACCTCTAGGTTAAATTGGTACCACAGATAACTATTTTATTTCCCTAACATAAGACATGCATTTTCCAATTCAAATGACTATTCTTTAACCACACACCTACACACACACACACACACACACACACACCACCACCACCACCACCACCACCACCACCACCACCACCACCACCACCACCACCACCACCACCACCCCGCTATATAGGCCAGAAAAATAAGGTTCCCAAATTCAATGACTCTGTGTCTGAAGCTGGTTTAAGGGTCTACATTGGCTACCATTTACTGAGGGTGTGCCAGCTAAGCACTTTACATGCTATACTAGCTCACTGAATCCTCAAATCAGCCTTACAAAGTAGGCCATGTATTATTATCTCTATCTTACAGGTGAGGGACTGAGGCTTAGAGAAGGAAGAGTCAAACTCAAGTTGAGGTCTCCCAATTTGAACCAAAAAGTAAAGTCTAGGAGCCTTTTCGCCTGTCCCAGACTCAGCCCACTGTCTCCTCAGATGTCCCTGAGCTAATTCCAAATTTCCAGTGCCTTGGCATGTGAATTACATCTCAACAAAGCCATCAAGATATGTTTTTCCAATACCTACTTCTCATTAATAAAACTGAGAAACTTCAATCCACAAAGCACTCTAAAGCCCCTTCAGTTAACGATGCAAATTGCTTTTTCTCTCTTCCATCCTGCTCCAGACCTCAGCAATTTCACTTCTCAGGAGACTTCCTACTAAAACTGAGGACAGAAAAAACAAAAGGTGACAAAACTTTAAATATGTTACATCCTGCTATTTGGCTACAGCTCTATTAAAGGATGCTCTGAAAATGAGACTAGGAGAATCAAATGAAATCTGAAAAATGGCAACTTCAACACGTTCATGTATATCCTTCTTGAGCAGTGATAATGGGACTGGGCTACAAGTGACAAAACTGTAGTCATTTCTGTAAAGAAAGAAAATTCCCTGGACATTTGTTGTGAACAAATGCCTCATTCCTATAGAAGATAACACAAAACAGTTTTTCTCAATGCTCATCACCTCTAGAGCTGCCAGGGATTTAAGAAGGAACAGACCCTCTTTGACGTCCATTTTTTCAGTCCAGTTTTATCCACTTCCCACAAGGTGACTGAATCTAACTCACATCCACTCTTGTCTGAGTAGACAGAAGGCAAATGCTTATACGGACACTCTTACCAATGGCTGGCATTACAGATGAATAGGAATGGCATGGATTGAATTCATTTAAAAAAAAAGAGAGAGAGAGAGAGGTTGGAACACTCTAACCACAAGAGTTCACGACAAGGCATTTTTATCCCTCTTCCCTGTAAGGAAAACAGTTGGATATGGTGACATTCTTCAAACAAAAGAGTAGCCAAAAGCAGGGGAAAATCTTCATCGTATTTGCCTTTGGAAGGCAATATATCTCCTTGGTAACAGTTCTAAAAAAGAAAAGGGGGGGGGGACCCTGTACTGAATCTTACACCTTAACCGGCAGCCTAGAAAATATGCCTATGATTCAGGCAAGGTACACATTCCTTTTTCTCAAAGGGATGCTTACGTTTTTTCTTTTCTTTTTGTTGGTTTAAACAAAAAGGGGTATCTAATATCTTTCCAAATGGATCTCATGAGTTTCTTCACCTATAAAATGGAGATGGTGCCAACAGCAATACTATCACTACCTTATAAGACTATTTTGAGGATTCAATGAGAGTGTATACAGGATTTACAGAAGGTCTAGCACATAGGGTGTCATCAGCAGATATTAATTATGACCATCACTATTCCCCAGGGCAGCACTAGAAGCACTGATAAAACTTTAAGATGACAGGAGGTAGAACTGGATGGTGTGTAAGACGCAATTCAAAAGGTTTCTACGGAAATTCCACAGCTCAAGACCAAAGAAAAGAATCAAAGCTATGTCCTGAAAACTATTTTTAAAAGAAAGAAAAAGCCATCAGCCCTGTGCTTTAACCAACGAAACCACAGAGCCACCCATCTTGCAATCAAAGATGCCTCACACAGAAAGCGGCACCTACAGTGAGCTGATGATTGAATCCTACACACAGACACACACTCTCTGCCCAGAGCCCCATCAGAGACCCTGTGTTCCTCCTCAGAGAGATCGGAACCACACGAGATGGAGGTCTGGACACTTGCGTAGACTGGAACAAGAAATGAACCCACATCATTTCCATCTCTCTCTACCATGGCCCCCACTTTCCTCCCACCCTGATGCTAAGACCCCTCAGCTTGCAAAGAGCATATAACTAGGAAGTTCAAAGCACATGAGAACACAATGCCAGGCTCCTGAAGAGAGTCATGGAAAGTCAGGAAATTACCAAGCTAACACCACAAGCAGGTCTAGTAATGAAGCACAAATAATGGGATTAGAAAAGAAAAAGAGCTTGGCCTTCTGACGGCAGTTTAACGGAAGAGAAGCCCAAAATAAAGAAAGAGGGAGGGAGGAAGGGAGAAAGGGAGGGAAGGGACTCCAATGAGTCACAGAGAACAGACGTGAATAAGCTGTGCAGCCTCCCCAGCTCTGCATGCACCCCAACCTTTAAGTTAGGATGAATGTATTCATCCTTCATCCATTTAGTCTGGATTTTCTGTAGTTATTTATTCTGTACTCATTGCTCTCTGGATCACTGTAGCAAACAATGGGAAGATAAGTATGGCCCCTCTCAGAGCTCACATTCAAGGATAATAGGAAGATAACAAGGTACCACCTTGAGATTTGCCCCAGTGGACCAAGCCATTTCGTTTAACACTGTACATCCCACAGCTCAAGCCAGTGAATTCAAGCAAGGGAATAAGCAGCTGTGAAGCCAATTACAAATGTGCTCCTGTGGCTCATGTCACTCCCTACAGCGCAAGGAAGAGATCCTGCTAAGGATTTCACAGGCACAAACACCCTCAGCCTCAAAGAATCATTGCCAGGACTGCTGAAAGATGGGGGAAGGTGTGCCTGCCCAATATATTATAAATTAAGACATTTCTCCTATGACCACGTGTGGAGTGGCTATTATGTGCCAGTCACTACACAGACAACTTAGGATATAGCCACAGGCCCATCAAGATCAGAATCTAAATGGACCTTATAGTCTAAATTGTAGTAAGTTATAAGAAGACTCCAAAATGCAGAGGACAAATCTCCAAAGTGGGAGTGGGAGCAGGGGGAGGACCATTAAAAGATGCCTCTAAAAAACCCACAGATGTTACTTCTGACAGTAGTCACTGCTAAAAGAGTGACACAGCAGGAAAGGTGACTAACTAGTGAGGTGTGTTGGATTTTCTGCCAAACATATTCAGGGCATCTCTTCAATGCATTCCAGTTCGGGAAGAAAAGCATGACCTAAGCAGGGCTGTTCACACACCCAGGAAGCTGTCAAAGGCTGCTAGGCTTCAAGAAGCAAATGCACACCGGCAATGGCCTGGTGCATGAAGAAGCCTGGGTTGTAATCAGACCTGGGTTTCTTTTCTCTTACAGCCCTGAACTAGGCAATTTCTTCCTTTGGGATTTAGTTTCTGCTTGTATAAAACTACAAGAACAAGAGAAAAAGGAGAAGCATGGGAGTAGGGAGAGGGACATATGACCGACCATTCATTGAGTGTGTACATATAAACAGCAGCCTCCAAACCCAGCTTTAGATGACATGAGTCGTTCCTGGCAGAAACTCTTTGCTCATCCCCTTCCTCCTACACACCATCAAGTACACTTTCACCATCACCACCCTTCCAAGCAGAGTAGCTTCTGAAAGGCACCTCTTGTGCAATCTACAACTTCCTAAAATGATGCACAACGTTCCACTTGAGGGAACAATTAGAAAACAATATCCAGCAACGCACCAACCAAACCCCCTATTTCCTTGATGCTGGCCCCAGCTATGTGCCAGAATGGCCTGGCAATGGCCCAAGAGGCAACGGCAAAAGGTCACTACACTGGGAAGCCAGGGGCAGCTTCCAGAGGAAACAACACTTGAACTGAGATTGGAAGGAAGAATAGCAAGTGGAAGGAAGGTGGAGGAGGGCTGCATCAGAGGGAATTATGTGCGCCAAAGTTCAGGGTGGGAGGCAAAAAGGGGCAAAAAAAGAGACCTGATGGCTGGAAAATGCAAAGATGGTATGAGATGAGGCTGGAAAGGCAAATGGGTAGGACCATTATATATGAGTACAAGGGGGAGCCAGCAGGGGTTCGAAGCAGTAAGGTGATAAGATCAGATTTTCATTTTGAAAAGACCATTCTGGCTACAGAGGTATCTGAGATGCCAAGAACGAAAAAGGCTGGGCAGACCGGAAAGGAAGAAGGGAAATCCAGGTCTAGCACATGCAACTCAGCAGCATCAATATCAACTGGGAGCTTATAAGAAATGTAATCTCAAGCCCCACCTAAGAATCTGCCTTTTAACGAGGTCCCCAGGCAATCTGGATGCATATTAAAGTTTGCAAAGCACATCCAATGCAGAGTAGTAAGCAGTCACTGGGGATTAGATATTATACCACTAAAGTCTTTCATTTCCAAACCTAGCTTTAAACACAATCTTTAACGAAACTGCAAAACCCAAATACCTGCCTTAAAGTTTAAATAAACAGAATCACAGATGAGGCTATGAAAACACTCCTCCTAAACTAACCAGGAGAGGAATCACTATCTTCCTACTCCTTGATCTTGCTAAATCTAGACATATAGCAACCACACAGGGTGAGCACGGGCATGATAGAAAGAAGCAACCTGTATCCACCCCCAAAAGTAGCCCATTATCTCCTAAACAGAATCCAAGTCTCTGCCAAAGCTTCCAGAAGCATCCATGAGTCAGTCACCTTTAACGGACTGCCTCTCAACACTCAACACAACATTCACCTTGCTACCTGCTTGAAAAAATGAACGAAGCCACTTACAGCATTCATGAGTCTTGCAGACCACCACTCTATCCAATTATAAAAACACTTATTGGCTCAATACTGCTTTTCTGTGACGCCTAAAATAAGTCCTTTAATCACTATGTGTCCCAGCTTTTTCCCATGTACAAAACAGGAACCCTAGCATTTATCCCTACCCACTCCCCACCAAGTATGCTTTAGGGATTAGGGAAATAATGTTTTCAATGCTGATAGAGGTATATCTATGTTGTTTAGTTCATACAATTTTTACTATGTCACCGTGCTGCTCAGAAAACTCACAGTGGCTTCCCAGTACCCAGGGAAGGAAGACAGACTCTTCACTGTGGCACCCAAACCTTCCACAATCTAATCCCAAAAACCCTAGCATTTTTAGTGCAGAGCTGCTCCAGCCAACCCAGACTAGAGTTCCTGAGCAAACTCCACCCTTTCCTGTCTCCACACTTTAGCTAGTGAGATTCCCAGTGAAACTGGAACCCTGTTGCTAATCCCTCCCTAAGTCCAGACCCACTGTGTGTTGAGACCTAAAGTATAAGTAGGCAGTGGTCAAACAAAGTGGGATAGGGAAGGAACCAAGGACACCATGTGGAAGGAACAGAAATATTCAGTGGACTGATGCTGGGAAACCCATCATTCATTCAAGAAACAGAAACAAATCAGAAGGACTGAAACACAGTGCCTAGACACCCAGAAGCAGTGTGAAGCTGGAGGAATCAGGCTGGGTCAGAGTATGCAGGGCTCAGAAACCCCTATCTAGACATTAAGACTTTATCTTAAAAGGGCTGATGGAAAGGTGCTTGAAAGCAACCATACTAGAATACTTGAGAACTGTTTTAGGGAAGGCAGAGAGTACCCCTGAAAACTTTTCTGAAACTCTCTTTCAATCCACTTTGCCCACCAATGAAATTCAAACTTTTTAGGAAATATCTGTGGCAATTTTAATAGCAATACATCGTTTCTTTTAACCAGAGATTATAATCACAGAACTACAGACCAAGTAGGAACTTTAGCAATCATTTACTCTAACCCCTTATTTTAAAGATAAGAAAACTACAGTGCTCAGAGATTAAATGATTTGCTCAAAGACAGAGGCAATTTGTGGCAGAGTCAATATTCAAACCCAAGTCCTATGACTTCTAGGCCAGAAAGAATAGGATGTAGTAAATATTCTGACATAGGAATCAAAGCATTCATTCATTCATTCATTCAGTGAATATTTATTTATGTACCAGATGCCATTCTAAGCACTAGGAATACAGAAGTGAGCAAAGACAAATACCTTGCTCTTGTCGAGTTTTTATTCTAGAAAGGAGAGATAGACAAAAAGAAACCATGATAGAGAGATTATATAGTATGTTAGAATGAGAAAAGTACTACAGATAAAACTAGAACAAAAAACTGGGATGGGAGAAGGGCTGTCAGGGGAGGCCACTGAGAAAGTGACAACAGAGCAAAGACCTGAAGAAGGTACTTGCTTGCAGGAAAAAATGCATCTGAGAAAGTGATGTGATTTCTATCCATTCCATCATAATTTACCTGTACAAACTATAGGCAGCAGGGCAGAGATTCAGGGAAGAAATTTAGTCCTTTTCGAAATCTTTCAATCTATCCACCAAGTTCAACAAACAAAAATCCACAATTCTAACATTTTTTTTCTGATAAAGCAGGAAAAAACAGTTCTCCTGCCTTTAATAAGAGGCCTTGATAGGCTGATAAAGTGGAATGTAGTAAAAAAGTGAACATGAAGGGAATTTCAGGCTGGAAGCAGAACAAATACATATTCTGCATTTTGATAATGAACCAAGCCAATTTATTTCGGTTACTGCCAAATATGGATTAAAATATGGGTCACTTCCTGAACACACCAGAAATGAAACTGAGATTGGCATCAAGTTCCCAAAACCTGATGAAGAGTTGCCCAAAACAGAGAAAAAGAAGGCATCAAAAGAGGAAGAACAATGGAAATTACAAATTACAAATTCTTCCCCAAGAAGAATATGCTCTGCAGTGGTAAAGGGT